TGGATTTCTTCTACAGGGCCCTATTTTAGATGCGTTGTTTTTAGTTATTTTTCAACACTTGAACTTCGTTGTAGGGCGGAAGTGGTGTAGTGGCAAGTGGCACGCTTACCACGCGAGCGGTCCGGGGATCAAATCCTGGGTCGTGAGTCGCCCGGGCCAACCAAGCCTTCCATCCCTCCGGGGTCGGTTAATTGGTACCAGACTTGTCTGGGAGGATAAAAACACTGACTTGTACATCGGCTGCCCCCGCAAGTCATTGTATAGGCCACATCGCATTCAAACGCCACTACGAATGTACAAATGGAAGTAGAAAAGTGTATCCTTTTTATCCTTTTTTAATATCGTTGTGAATAACGGCAAGTTGGTCAAGCACTTCTCATCTTCGAAAAACAAAATCAAGCTCCAACTAATACTAACCAATACTAGAAGTCGGAAAACAAGTATATTTTCGAGATGTTTAGAAGTTTTTGAAACAAGATGAGTCCTACTATGTGCTGTTAGTAGAAAAAAAATTCAGGGGATCTGACTATTCTATGCATGACGCTATGCCAGAGCTGGTGGCTGAAGACTTGAAGGCCAGAAATCCATCCATGGTTCTCGGTGTGTGTCTACATTATTCCGTTCGTGAGCACAATCAGAGCCCAAGATAAGATTGCCAGGTACCTGCATAGACATCCTTCAGTTCCTTTTATAGACAATATTTTGGCATAAGTCTTGAGCCAACGTCTTGAACACCCATAAGAAAATAGTTTACTCCAACAGACAAAACGAAAGGGACAGTGAGTCGAAGAATTCGTGGGGAGGGGGGGGGGGGTCGAAGAGTTGACGAATATGCAGAGCTGGGTTCCTTGAGAATAGAGACTAAGGTCGGTGGCCACTGCTGACGCCGGAAAGACGGGGGTTTCTGACGAGGGGACCTCGGGCGGGCACAATGTTCGCATCGCCAAGACAAGAGGAAGGCCTTCCGAGAGGTCTCATCTGCCTTTTAAGCGTACTCGTGGTCTGATCTTCGTTGGGAAATTTTCCTTGCGATCATTTTCTTGTGACCTTTTAGTGATTCCATGATCTGGTCCCGATCTCCATGTTTTCACATAGTGGTATTCTTCCATTACTACCGAGAGAACGTGGTATTTTCGTCATGTAAAGGTTTTTCGCTTTGCTCTCGTCACTTCTGTTCAAAAGTAGATATAATCGACTACACCTCGATTAGGTCGGAGCGACTCGCGAAATGCGCTTTTCCGACGACGACGTCACTACCACCAAAAGCGTGACTTATTCATGATTTGCATGAATTCGGCAATTACTTATGACGATGGTTTCTGTGCAAGCAGTAAAAAGTTTACAAAACGCATCCACAATTTTTCTGTGTCTCTAAAATCGCTACTATTAACCAGGTATCTTATTGTTTGATCTTCCTCTTTAAAGTATAAGTGTTTGTGTTAATCTCATTCCAACCGATGGTGACAATTCTGCAAAAATTTCGTCTAACATTGCAGTAGCAGCAGTAGC